ACGTGACGACAGCTGATTGAATGCCTGCGCCAATCTTTTGTTTAGACTGCTATTCAGGTTTATTAGTTGCGTCTACACCCCCTCTTTCCAATTTAGGCTACGTGTTGTTTTGTACAAATTGTAGCCTGTTAATGGTCACACCTAGATTGCGGGCTTTTCTCTTTTTGTCAACCCGAGACGTACTTATGTCCCCTATTTACTTTGGCTGTTTTATTGGTCCTAGTTGCTCACATGCTCCCCCCTCTTCCACAACAGAGTACGCTAATAGGAACGCCTCCTTATACAAATGGCCTTGAGCTAAATTCTAGGACGGGTAAACTTTCCCGTGTTCAAACCTTAACACAAAACCAAGCCTTAGCCCTAACTCTAATCGTAACTCCAACTCTAACCCAGATTTCCCTAGATTTTAGCGCAAAGCCACCCGTATTACAGGCGGTTCGTCTTTTCATGTGCTGCCAAGAGAATCATTTAAGCAATCCACACCTTTTTATTAATTGTCCTTGATACTTCTATGCTATTATTATCCTTCCTCTGTGCCCGATAAAACAAACCGTTAAGTTTGCTAGACAAAGGGCCGTTGCATTGTATTCGCATGAATGTTTTTTGCTACTAGGGACTAACTTAAGATCGTATCGTCACACTTTTTAGGAACGCCTTGAATTGTTTGGCTGCTTCCGCCTCAATTCAAAGATCTTCACCACCCTTGGCGAGTGTCATGGTCTAAAGGCCCTCGCATTCGGCTTCCTGCATCATCTTTCATCAGCTGGCCTCCTGGAACTCGTCTCGAAGGTTTGTATTTACTCTTCCTTCCCCTCCCCTCTTGCTCGCTTGCACTCCTGCAATTAGGTCAAGCCGACAAGTGTCATCACCATGTGATAAGACCGCGTGAGCCCATGGCTCAACTGGCAGTGAGTGACTTCTTGATCAGCTGAGCCTTAGTTTCAAACACACGTCTTTCTCGCCCGGGGTTAGGGAGTATGACTGGGATGAAAACTGCAACCCAACTCAAGATGGCCATTCTAGTTCCGTCTTTGTCGATAGTGCTTCCCCAACTGATAGTAAGCCCAAATACACGGCTTTAATTATGCTTTGGCAAAAGTTCACCTCCCCATGAGTAAACTGGATCACCGCGCTCTACGCCCACATAGGAATAGTCATTTTTTACAGCGCCTCGCTTTGGTAGGCGCCTGAAATGAAGCCCACTCAAAAGCTGACACCCCAACGTGACTGAAATATCTTTGAATTATGCTGCGCCTTAGTTAGTATTATAACCTTAGGTAATCCTTTCGGATCGAAAGCACATGTCAAAACTATGATTAACATTTCATGTAATTGCACATGTGTTCTATTTTGTCATAAAAAATGGGTGAGGTTGTCTCCAGCGGTCTTTTAAAGGTCCTTATGTATTATAGCTACCTACTTGAAGTTCTAAGTAGGTTGAATTACCTGTAAACTTCTGGTTTTCTACACGCCATCCATCG